TCTCTCTCTTTTTTTAAAAATTGAAATGTATAAGAAAAGGAAAAAAAAATGAAACTTTAAATGAAATATTACAATATGAATCAAATTCATTCAATTAATTTATCCAATCCTTTAGAATATATATATAATATTATTGAACACAGTATATCATCTTATTTAATTTTCCGAAAAATACCTTCTCTCTCTCTCTCTTTCTCTCCCTCTCTCCCTCTCCATCTCTCTTTCTTTCCTAAAATTAAACGTGTAAAATAATTTGTAGGATTTAAAAATTTGTTTAAAGAAAAAAAAAAAAAAAAAGAAAATGAGAAGATATTGGTTATTTTAATATTATTATTCGATAAAAGTTGGGAAAAGAATTGGTTGCTTCAATCAATTTAAATCAAACAAAATTAAATTCATAAAATGATATTAAATAAATATATAAAATCGAACAAGTAATTATGGTAATAGAATTTTTATTATTTACACATCAATTTCATTCTATTGCAAAAAAAAAAAAGAAAAAATTTTATCCAAAATGATTTCTTTAGTGGATGATTGCTTTTTGCATTTTTAAACAACCAACAATCAATTCATTTAACTAACTTCTTTAATTTTTATTATTTTTCCTTTCCTTCTTTTCCATTCCAATTGATAAAAATAAATTAATGAATAGTAAAAATAAAAAAAAAAGAAAATTAAAATTTGAAGTTTTAATTAGGTTAAATGTAAATTTGCAAAAAGATAAAACAAAAAGTTAAGGTTAGGTTAAAATTGAAGTTTCAATTAAATTAAATGTAAATTTACAAACGATGAAATAAAAGTTTAATTAAAATTAAGATTTTAATTAAGCTAGATGTAAATTTGCAACGATGAAATATAGCTTGAGGTTAAATTAGAGTTAAAGATTTAATTAAGTTAAATGTAAATTTGTAAAGATAAAATAAAATACTTTTAATTAAGTTCAATATAAGTTTGCAAAGATAAAACAAAAGGTTAAGTTAAAATTATGAAGTTTTAATTAAGTTGAATGTAAATTTTGCACGATAAAATAAAGGGTTAATTTAAAATTAGCTCAGAATTAAATTGACATTTTAATTTTTTTTTAAAATTTGTTTTTAGTTTTCTCTATAAATAATTCCAATTCCGATATATTATTTGCATATTCATTTATAAACTTCTACAGTACATTCGATATGAAGAATTGGGGGGAAAAAAAGGGGAAAAATATTTAATATTTAAATTTTACTAAAAAAAACAAATTCTTTTTTCTTTTAAAAAATTAATATTTCTAAAAGCAATTAGAAATTGCTCTATGAAATTTTTTTTTCGTTGCAATTTTGAAAATTGCATTGAATTGGTTGAAAGATTATACGAAGAATTGATTAATTGTCATCAATTTTTGCTTGTGTTATATTTATGATGAGTTAAAAAGAATTACTTCAATTTTTTTTTTAAATTTAAATCTGTCCAATTTTTTTTCTTTCCATTGATTTACCCTAAAGTTATTTTATTTTCGTTTTATTAATTTACCTTAAAGTTATTTTATTTTCGTTTCATTGATTTACCTTAACGTTATTTTCGTTTCATTAATTTACCTTAAAGTTATTTTATTTTC